CCCTCCCGCCGAAGCGGATGTGTCTAATGGTGAAAAGAAAGTCCGATGCTGCAAAGCACAATACTGCATAGGAACCTGGAATGTAAGATCTATGGTAAGTTGGATGTGGTCAAAAATGAGATGACAAGACTGAACATCAACATCTTGGGCAGGGGTCATTTCGTAGAAAAAGAGGTGCAGGAGCTCATTTGCATAATTTATTTGCATATGCCACACCCCCTGGCATCACCGGAAGTGTGTCAGAAGGCAACACCCACCGCTCAGGCTCCACCCCCAAAGTCTCCAGGTATTTCCCAACTCACATTCAAACCTGGGTCTCCCAAATCCTTGTCTAGAACACTAACCACTACACAACACTTCATGGGGCAACGGCTGCTGAGCAGTAGCAAGTAGCTGGGCCTGCATGAGTTATGCAAGTTGCATGGTGTCAAGTTGTCCAGTGGCTGCTGTCAGGCCTGACATGCTCTCTTCCCCCTACATTTTACTGACAGAAACAAATGCCTGAAGGCTGGAAATACTGCTGTGGTTGACAAACAATGGCCACTGAGAGAATTCCTTTCATATAGCTACGGGTGCTGCTTCTATTATGGGTGAGGGTTGACCCGGATTGCCTTTCTCTCCACCCCCCTTTCACTTCGCCCGCTTGGGGGTGAGGTGAAGGGAAAGGAGGAGGGGAGGAGTTTACTTCTTACTTCCTGCTCGAAGTGACCCCTGGCCAGATCTTTTAATTGGAAATGTTGGTGACTGAACCTGGGACCTTCTGCATGCCACACAGATGCTCTGCCATGGAGCCATGGCCCTTCAGCTGAAACAAATCATACAAATACCTGACAACACTGACTTGCCAGTGGCCAGTGTTATATCAATGCTTTAAAAAAAACACACCAGGAAAATGTACTTCTTTTTCCATACATCAGAGTGCACTCACAAGTGACTGTGATATCACTTGTACCATAAAAATATTCAGACATGGTGAGCTTATTAAGCATTACACCCACTCTAAAAGAACATTCATTTGTCATCTAGTTTTCTTTTTATTTGACATGGGTAAACCATGCTTGCAGATTATGAACCAAAACCGTGAAATGAGTTACACACATAAAATTATTTAAAAGGTGTTCAAAAGTTGGAACTATTGGAAGGGGAAGGACTTGCCTGGGGCACCACTGGATCTAGGGCTGATCCTGCATACATTATACAGCTGGGATGAATCTCAATTAGCGTTACAGAGTGCTTGGGGATAAAATCTGTAGGAGTCGCCTTGTGTCCTCAGAACAAGATGCTGCAGGGACTGATGGGAAAATAAAATGACAGAAAAACCAAATGGCAGGCAGTTTGATGGTTTAGGGTATTTAAACCCTGTCTTGAGTCATTAAAGTGTTTGCAGATTTTGTTTGGTAAATGTGGCTACCTGCTCTGCCTATCAGATGAAAGAAGTGAGTTGTGCTCTGTGCATACTGCCAAGGATCCTTGCCCAGGCCAAAATTACTCAGCTCATAGCACCACACGCCTGTGACTAGTAAGCACAGGGACCTTGCAGGATATCACTTACCATCTGCAGATCTTTCTTTATCTATACATAGCTGGATGTGGTCCATGGGGTCACGAACAGTCGGACTCAACTGTGTGACTGAACAACAAGCTGTGGCTTTTTGGTTCGTTTGTTTGTTATAGTTGGAAGGGACCTTGCAGGTCATCTAGTCCAACCCCTGCACTCTGCAGAAGCATAGCCGAAAGATAGCCCTACAACATACCTGAAAGATGGTTGTCCAGCCTCCGCTTGAAAACATCCAGCGAAGGAGCATCCACCATATCCCAAGGCAGTCTGTTCCACTGCTCAATCACTTTTACAGTTAGGAAGTTTCTCCTGATATTTAGCCAGTATTGACTCCCTTGTAATTTCCACCCATTAGATCTAGTCTTGCAATCCGGAGCAAGAGAGAATAGATCTACTCCATCTTCTACATCACAGCCCTTCAAATATTTGAAGACTGCAATCATGTCCCCTCTAAGCCTTCTCTTTCCCAGGCTAAACATACCCAACTCTTTCAGCCTTTCCTCATAAGACTTGGATTCCAACCCTCTCACAATCTTGGTTGCCCTCTTCTGGACACGCTTGAGCTTGTCAATATCCTTTCTAAAATGTGGTGCCCAAAACTGGACACAGTACTCCAGGTGAGGCCTGACCATAGCAGAATAGATTGGGACTACCACCTCCCATGATCTGGACACAATGCTTCTGTTAATGCATCCTAAGATTGCATTAGCTTTCTTTGCAGTCACATCGCACTGCAGGCTCATGTTTAGCTTGTGATCAATCAGAATACCTAGATCCCTTTCACATGAGCTGCTGTCAAGCCAAGTCCCTCCCATTCTATATCTGTGCCTTTGATTTTTTTATACCTAAGTGTAGGACTTTGCACTTATCTCTATTGAAAGTCATTTTATTTGTCTCAGCCCACTGTTCCAGCCTATCTAGATCATTTTGAATCCTGACTCTATTCTTCAGAATTAGCAATCCCGTCCAGCTTCATGTCATCTGCAAATTTGATAAGCATCCCCTCTATGTCTTCCTCCAGGTCATTGATAAAAACATTGAACAACACCGGGCCCAGGACCGAGCCCTGCGGCACTCCACTCGAGACTTCCCTCCACGTAGATGCAGAGCCATTTACGAGCACTCATTGGGTACGCTTTTTCAACCAACCATGAATCCATCCAACGGTTGCACCATGCAGCCCAGATTTAACCAGCTTATCCTCAAGGATATCATGAGAAACTTTGTTGAATGCTTTACTGAAATCTAGATACACTATGTCCACAGCATTGCCAAAGTCAACCATTTTAGTAACTCTGTCAAAAAAGGAGATAAGGTTGGTCTGACATGACTTATTCTTGATAAACTCATGCTGGCTACTACCAATTAAATCATTCCATTCAAGGTGCTCACAGACAGAGCATTTAATAATCTGCTCTAGAATTTTTCCAGTTATTGATGTCAAACTGACAGGCCTCTAATTTCCTGGGTCCGTCTTTTTCCCCTTCTTGAAGATCGGGACAACATTCACTCTTCTCCAGTCTTCCAGCACAACACCAGTACCCCAGGAAATCTCAAAGATTAGAGCCAGAGGCTCTGAAATAACATCTTCAATTTCTTTTAGCACCCTGGGATGCAAGCCATCCGGCCCTGGAGATTTGAAATTATTTAAGGCAGCTAGATGCTCTCTAACCAACTCCTTACTTACTCTGGACTGGCAGTTCCTCCTTCCTTCATATGTCCTGCATTCTTCAGTTTGTATACAGCTTGCCTTATGGTTAATGACCGATGCAAAGTGAGAGTTAAGTAATTCTGCTTTGTCTTCATCCCTTGATCGTCTTCCCCTAGCAATGACCTTACCCCATCCCTGTTCTTCTTTTTGGTCTGAACATAGGCATAGAGACCTTTCTTGTTATTTTTAGCATCCCTAGCAAGCCTCAGCTCCATCTGCGCTTTAGCTTTTCTGACACCATCCCTACAGATTCAAGCCTGCTTCTTGTACTCACCCTCAATAATTTGTCCCTCCTTCCATTTCCTGTACATTTCCCTTTTTAGTTTCAGCTCTTCAGAGAGTTCCTTGTTCAGCCACCTCGGCTTCATTACCCGTCTCCCACCTTTCTTTCTCACTGGGACAGTTTGCGATTGTACCTTAAGCACTTCATTTTTCAGCATTTCCCATCTTCCGGTGCAGATTTCCCCCTCAGCATTTTCAGCCATGGGATCCTACCTAATATTTCTCTGAGTTTTTTGAAATCAGCATTCCTGAAGTCCAGGATATGAGTCCTGCTATGTCCTAGTTTCACATCCTTCTCTATGTCAAATTCCAAGCAGACATGGTCACTATTCCCCAAGGATCCCACAACATTCATTTCATCAACCAGTTCTTCCCTGTTAGTTAGGATTAAATCCAGGATAGCAGATCCTCTGGTTCCCACCTCCACCTTCAGAGAGATGAAGTTGTCCGCAAGACTATTCAAGAATTTGCGGGATGCCCCATGTCTAGCATAGTTAGATTTCCAGCAAACATCTGGATAGTTGAAATTCTCCCATAATCACTACATCCTGTCTCAGGATAATCACTACATCTTTCCACAGAATATGACTATCACAGATTTCAAAGAGTTTTGGCAAACTTCACAGTAACAATCAGGGCTTTTTTTTTTTTTTTTTTTTTTTGCTTTTTTTTTTTAAAAAAGAGGTGCCGGAACTCTCAAGAGGGAAATGAAGTTTCAGTCTGTATGCTGAGAACTCATGAACTTTTAAACATTTTAAAAATAATGTTGTTGAAGAGGTTCCAAAACTCCATTCTGACATTCCCCCCCCCAAAAAAAGTACCAAATGACAAGGCATTATCAATTATCATTTTCTTTTGCCCTTGCTTGTCCTATCCCCTGATTGCATACTTTTCCATATATCTCACAACATTTTTGTTTAGCAAGAATGTACAAGTATATGGTAATTGCATATTATCAGACTACAAAGGGAGAAGTTAGTCTTGTTTTTAGCTGTCTTCCAGTATAAACAGTCTCAAAAATATACTCAAGCAATGCTCAATTAAGTCTATTCAGTTCTTTATTTCCTGACCTGGTTTAACTATTCGACAATAAATTTAGATGGACTATTATTCACTGTTTAAATCAGATATTGATAGCCTTGGTTTTATATCATTATGAGTTGGGATCTTTGCCATTAAGGCCTCTCATAAGTTCAGGCAAAACTCTTCCTTCATAAAGAGGTCACTATGATTTCATAACAAATGAGGGATCTTCAGGATCTGTTTCTGTGGTTTCAAAACATGAGCTGTTGTAAAATCACTTTCCATTCATTTCTCACAAAAATTTCACCAAACAATAAATACAAAATTAAATTGTACAATACATATTTTTTAAAATCATCATATTCCTATTCTAACAATGTAAAATTGAGAAAAGCAATTCAGCCACAGAACTCAAGAAATACTCACCTGTAGGAAAGAAAAGTTCCATCAGAATCTGAAATGTGATGAATACTTCCATTTTCATTTGACACATCTAGGAAGACAAACAAGACCACATATTAGTTGGGATTAGTAAGAAATTGGGATGTAAAATATTAGACTTTTACACTATGTCATGGAAGGCCACTGGGTCTGGAAGCATATTTTACGGCAAAGTTCAGTTTACTCAGTGTGAAAAACCTACTGAAGGGAAAGGGAAAAAACTGCATCTAGCAATATAGACACTTGTATAACCAACCATATACTTTAACTGCATTGTTTGGGCACTAGGCACTGTAAAACTTTATGCACAGAAGTAACCTTCTAGTGTTCTTTTAGTTCTTTGGATTCGGCCCAACTGGAAAGATGAGCCTTACTTGATGTTCTTGATTATAATATCTTATTATGATAAACAAAGTTGATGCAAGTAGAAGAATTCTAAATCTGAATTGTGGAAAGTTCAGTGCTTCTAGGAGCAAGTTTAAACATGCATGTCCATCATTTGAAGAATGCAGAATTATGGCAATTTGCATGTATAAACAAGCTACAGACAACACATCACACAGAGGACTTTTATTTCACTGCCTATCTTCTCAGGCACAAATCTTTTCAGTGGAGTCAGTTGATACAGCTGCTTTTGGGTCACCAAGATCTGTATACATGAGTTGGCCACAGGTCACTTAGATCATAAAGGCAAGGCTGTTTATTGTTGGCGGAGTTTAAACATGTAGAGGAACAGGGCACCAACAGTTTAAAGAAAATAACTTGGTTTGTTAAAGAAGAAATAAACTTTGATAGAACGGAGGAAAGGGAGAAAGGCTTAACTAACTGACTGACTGCTGTGAGAGACAAGAATGAAGGGGGAGGGCTCAGTTGGAGCAGGAAGTCTCCAAACAGCCAATCAGGAGACAGGAAGGACATAATCTGAAATTGTGGGAAGTCCCTAATCTAGCTATGAAAAATAGCAGTCCTTCAACTCTCCCCTATAGGTTATGCTTCTGATCTTCTTCATGTAGGTACACTATAGAGCTTGTATATTCCAACATTTATTGGGGTATTTTTTGTGCTACTCAAACAAAAGCCACAAGTTTGAAATGTTAGATGTCCCTATCTATTTTCCTTTCATCTTGAACTGTAAAGAACAGTACAATACTGAATCCCACCGCCACCTAATAAGAAAGCAAATGGCAATTTTTTGCCAGGAATACAATGGCCAGTATGGGGAATGGGGAAATCTGATCCAGAAACAGAATTTGGTAGCATGATATTCTCTGTTAAATACCTGAGACAGGCTTATTACATACAAAGGATACAGGGTATTGTCCCGTTAACTAGTGATTAGATTGGCTCTCCTATTTAATAGTCACCTATGTTCTGGTTGGCCAACTCAGAAGCTAAGTAGGCCTGGGTAGGAAACTGCTGCTCTATAGTTAACACAATAAAAAGAATCTCCTTTTCCCTATGCAATCTTGGCCATCTGAAACAGGACTGTGCACATATATATAATGACAGTGGATATATTTACTTTGGAATGATTTTGCCAACTGCAGTGGCAGTTGCTTGGAGGTGCTACAATCAGAGAGATTACCATAGAGTAAACGTGATATACTCAGTACATTTCTCCACACAGTCCTGTGTTTAGGGATGGGACTGTATAAAGAAAGGAACAATATACATTTATCTAGCTAGGCACCAATGAATATATAATGTAGACATATTCTTCTTAAACCTACACAGCGGTACAGAGTTGTTCAGACTGAAAAACAGATTTTGCATAGAAGGATAAACATTTTCTGTCTCAATAGTCTGTTTTCCACAAACCAAAAATTAAAAGACATATTACTGCTAAGGAACTAGAATGGTATTAAATTATATTTTCATGGTTGATGCTTGATAGCAATCATATATGAAGATATATTATTTTAAAAGTGCATAATTTGTGATTTTAGGAAAGGAAATACAGAAGTTGCTTACATTATGAAGTTGCGACAGCATGGTTTTTAAATACCACATACTTCTATTTTCGCATATTTAAAGCTTAATAATTTAATGATTTATTCAGTTTTAATTTATACCTTCAAAACACTCCGAGATGCCACTGGAGATCATAACAGTGGTCCGGGTTAAGTCAAATAATAATTAGAGCTTTCACTTTAAAGATGAGATTATTTTTAATTATTGAGTGAAGTACTTGAGGTACCATACTTATATAATTACACTACTCATTAAATGGTTATTGAAAGCTGAAATGTAATTTTAATGACAGCTACCTATTTTTCTTTGCACACTTTGAAGATGACAGATCAGTCAAGAATACTGGTTTGCTCAAAATTTCTTGCAGCTGCACTGGAGCTTTCAGGTGTAGAACAATTAGGCTGTGCTTATTTTAAAACTTTTAAAAATGTTCTCTCAATTAAGCGGTATTTTTATACAAAGTGCAGGAATAGCAAGGAAAATAAATCGGTACCCAAGATGGTGCAGCAAATTCTGTTCAGTGGGTACTTTCCCTCTGAGTAGTGACACAGAAGTCCAATGGGTTACTAAAATATACTGTTCTTGAATCCAAGCTCTTGAAACAAACTTGAGGAACATAAGGCAGGATAGAAATTTAGTTAACTACCCAGAGAAAGAGATAAGCCATATTATTAGAAAAAATTGATTATTCTTTTACTCCAGAAATCAGCAATAATTATAGGAACAGAGACAGATTTTAGTCTAAATAATTTTTCACACACAATTATTGAAAATATATATTGATTCTACATATACAAAATGTAAATATACAATAACACTACACAAATTCCAATATGTAAAATTTAATTCTTTACATTATACTAAGATTATACTAACAGCCAAACAGGAAACTAATGTTGTAGTTAAGAAACCCTTGACAAACAGAGTTTTGAATGTAAAAAAAAGCTTATTGAAGATTCTTAATTCCTCTGTTTATTGAATGCTCTTCTGAATTTAACATTTCTCCATTGTGTCAAAGGCAAGAATATAATACAAATTAAGCTTTTCTTTCTCACTGTGAAATCCAAACAGAGAAGTCAATTTATTTCATTAACAATATTAAAAATTTTCTGAGTTCGCTGTGTGGGGAAAAGGCATTAAGTTTAGAGGAGGGAGCAACTGCTTTGTTCTGCCAATCCCCTAGTTGAAATTAATTATAGCAAATGTTTATGAAAACATCTGTTCCATACAGTTATAAATTCTTAATTTTAGCATGGACGATTTCAAGTTCCTTCTATTTTGAAGCACTATAGTCTGACGATTGCCAGGCTTACAATTTGTACTTCAACACACCACAGATGAAATCTACAATGTTTTGAGTATCTCTGTAAAATGAACCCCACACAAAACAGAATTAATCTCTTTTAAAAAATATAAAACTACAGCAAACCAAAAGATCTTAAGTTGAAGGAAGCACTAATATAAGAATATGACTTCAAGATGAAAAATTCAAGAATAAAAAAAAAATCTGCTAATTAAGTCCATTTAAATTTTGGTAAATTATGCAAAATACAAAGCTGAAGGATCAGTGTTTAACATGCTTTGATAAATTTGATAGCTATCCACTACTTAAAGAGAAATACACCTGATATTGCCTAAATGTTACAACAGAGGGTGCTAGAGAGTTTAAGATTGATATGAGCCGGAGCCAGAAGCACTCTTTTTGGACTTTTTACATAACATCCTTGCAACTACAGTGTTAAATTCAATTTACACCAACTAAGCTTTTAAAATGATTAAATGGAGCAAGCTTGAAGCACTGTACAGAAACGGAATATAATGCCTTCAGCTAAAGAATTAAGTGCACTGCACTTCTGATATTTATAAAATAATTATTAGGCTACAAAAATTGAAGTACATTACACTCGAAGGGAGTTGTTGAAGTTTCCCAAAGTTAAAAAAGGAAAATATATTCAAGATTTATGATGTTAAAAAAATCCGTTATGTGATCACATAACAGAACAATCTAGAAACAGTCTTGCAAGTAAAGATTTTGATGCTGCTTAAACTTAAATATTTTTATTTGGTTTGCTAATAAGAAAAATATATAGCACTGCAGCTAATAATTGGGACCCTCTAGGTCATCAGCTTATGAGATGATGCAAAGGTTGACATTTTTCATGAAATAAACATACACGGTAATCAAAGGCTAAGTATTAAGATTTAAGGCAATTTTTCAATAGGCCCTCTCAGCAATACATCTTAATATTAAATATAATTAGTCTTAGGGGAAGAAAGCACTGAAATTAGATATTGTGAAGTGCCAAGGCCACAATCAAGGGAATTCTATGTACTGAATGCAGCAAATTTTGGAGGAAAAAGGGGGGGTCAGATGCTAATTTCTCCATTTCAGATTTCCTCAGCCTATTATGAGCTACATCTGAAGACTCCCCAAGTCTGGCCCTGGCTAATAATGGGAATGATTCTAGACTTCCTGCTACTGCAATTGCTTTTCTCTTCCCCACTCTAACACATGGTAGGGGTCACATGGACAGGGCTGCTGCTTCTATTACACTCAAGAAAGCTGTCACCACAGTTCTTAGGGCATTAAAACTTCTGCACAATATTGTCTTTGCAGTCCTTACTATGTTTCCCAGGATCCTGGCATCCAAGATGTCACTGTGGGACCATTCTTAAGCCGTATGGAGATATTTGTCCTCAACACCAGCCCTCTTCATCACAAGGTGCCCCACTACTACACTTATGGCCAAGATAATTTTTGGTAAAAGGCAAGTGAGCATGGGTAAAGGGTGTGTTCATGTACTGGAAGACCTTGGGTTCTTCTGTACTCCAATGAATGCCAATGGACTCAATGGATAGGCAGAAGAAATAACAAATTACAAATCCTATGTCCATCACCAGGAAATGATACTTCTTTACTCAGGAATATCATTTCCAGTAAAGACCTAGCTTTATCTACTGAGCACTTGCTTCTGATATTTTAAGGATAGGTAGCTGTCTTTCTCCTCAAAGGAATTATTTCCCCTGAGCTTTCTTAAAAATGTAAATGTGGAAGACTCAAGGATTTCTTGTATAATTTTC